TTAGACTTGACTTTATTTATCCCTTGGGAAGACTCCCTCAGGAAATTATAGTTACCAGCAGCTCACAGGCAAAAATGTGGCACACAGTAAGCATACACAAAAGAATTCAAAAAAATACAAATTAAATACAAGGTACACAGTAAATATAATAAGAATATAAATACAAAACAAAGAATATAAATACAATTTATTGTATTTATAGCTTTTCGGAGGCCTCCAGGCGTATGGCGTGCTTACCCCCTGTACCTCCACAGGGGGTAATTGTGTGTTTGAATCAGTATAATTAATTTCAGTTTGTCTGGTGGACTCAATTAAAGGAAATCTATTTAACAAGGATAATCCACATTATTAAGCAGGCCACAGGTTTCAAGCAATATGGGAAAGATAAAGGATCTCTGCTGACCAAAATCATCAGATAGTGTCATGCTGTATGACAAGGTCTGAAAACATCAGATTTTTAATGAAAACTGAAGCGTTATCATTGTATGGATAAGGGGAGAAGAGATTTGTGGCTGATTCAGAACAAAGATATGTTTGTACAGATAAAAGCATAAAGAGGAAGGTTTCTGTTAGACAAATTCATTGGATTAAGAGAGCAGCTGTTAAAATGTCTTTACAAAGCAGCAAACAGTTATTTGAAGCTGCTGGTGCCTCTGGGTGGAGGATCCTTCAGAAACTTGTGGTGCATGAACCGACTATTAGGCTCCCCTAACCAGAGCTCACAAGCAGAAACGGTCACACTGAGCCCAGCCGTACATGAAGATTCATTTTCAAACAGACTTGCTCACTGATGACTGCTGTGCAGATGGACGCAGTAGTGGATTGGTGGTGGACGGCCACCACATCCCAACACGACTGTGACGTCAGCAAGGAGGTGGTGGAGTCATGCTTTGGGCTGAAATCATGGGGAGGGAATCATTGGTCGGCCCCTTCAGAGTCCCTGAAGGTGTGAAAATGACCTCAGTAAAGAATTTGGATTTTCTGACTGATCACTTTCTTTCATGGTTCAAAAAGAGCCGGACCTTCAGTAGTAAAATCATCTTCATGCATGACAATGCACCATCTCATGCTACAAGGAATACCACTGTGTCATTGGCTGCTATGGGCTTAAAAAGGGGAGAAACTCATGATGTGTCACCATCCTTCTCTGACCTCTGACCCTCTTGAGAACCTTTGGAGTTTCCTCAAGCAGAAGATCTGAGTCTGGGATGCAGTTCATATCAAGCAGCATCTTTGGGAAGATTTTCTGACAACCTGCAAAGAAATTCAAGCAGAAACTTTCAACAAACTCACAAGTTCAATGGATGTTAGGATTGTGCAGGTGATATCAAAGAAGGTCCCATGTTAACATGTAACTCTGTCTGTTAAGATGTTTTTGATTGAAATAGATTTTCATTTTAGTACATGTGACCACAAAACTTTCAAAGAATGACATGTTGCGGTTCTTTAAAATTCATAAAATGCTAAGAAAATCTGCTTTGTGTAATAATTTGGAGTTTTTTATTTTTGAAAAAAGAAATACTGTTCTCAAGGGGAGCTTTGTTCAGTAAAATTAGATTTCTACTGTAACAGTTCATGATCATCATTTGCATTGACCATTTAAGAAAATCTGAGAAAATATGACTTGCATAATGATTTGGAACATGGTGTATTCACCCTCTTTAAAGTGAGCGAATTCAACAGAGGTCCAGCCAATTGGTGCTGGTCGTCGGAGTGTTTCCTGTGATTATAGTATGGAACCAGAACCAGCCGGTTCTGGTTCTGGAAGGTCTGTTCACTGGTTCATCAGTATCCCTGGCTACTCAAAAACACTCCAACTAATCAAAGAAAAGGTTAATGAAAGGTATCATTCAGGGGATGCATGCTGAAACATCTGAGTATCTGTCATGGTGGCCTTCTTCTTCTGCTGAACTAGCTGAGGATTTTTGTCCAGTCATAATGCTCTAGCTCTCAAAAACAGCAAGGGGGGAAAAACTGGCTGTGCAGGAAATCCAGGAAGCTTCATCCTGACGTTTCCCACGGAGGCCATAGTTCTTCTCAGTGAGTCCAAAGCGGCCCAGTCCCGGTTCCCCTTCATGTTGCTAATCCCGGCTTCATAGGAAACATCAGATTAATCCACTCATTTAGCTCGGGACACTTTGTGTCCTCCACTGTCTTCAGATGGTCCTGCATGCTGTCACCAGACCGTAAAGAAACCATCTGGGTGTTTAGCTTTTCGGATCCGTCTCCCACTGAACCAGTTCTGGAGTCCAATGGATCTCTGAGCCGAGCCAAGATTTTACTCCAAAAGGTGAAACCAGAGAAAAGTCGCAGAAACAGGGCAATATGTTCCCACCTCAGTCTGACATTCCCAACATCATGTCTGCATTATTTCCATTCTGTTGTCTGTGGATCATTAATTATTTCATGTTTTGACAATAGTTTGCATGTTTGCCAGTGGATTCTTCCCTCAACACATCATGTCATGTTTATTTGTTTACTAGCAGATCAAGACAAGGCATGCAAAATCCAAAAACAACAGGACTGGAAAATAGCAAACATGCTAATTATTTTTCCCATTTAATCAGATAAAGACTGAAGATCAAACATTTGATACTAATGTTTGTCCTTCAGCCTTATTTACTTATGGTCTGATGCAAATAATTAGTTCTTGAATAATCAAATCAAAAGTCAGAATAATTCTCGTGAAGTTCCTGTTTTTCAGTGATAAAACCCAGAACTGTTTCCTGTGAGTTCAGTCTTGGTTCCTGCAGAGGAAGAGGAGACGTTCTTCGCTGCTGGGATCTTCGTCTTGCATCGTCGCTGCAGTTTCTCATTTTCTCTGAGCGTTTCAGCCGTCAGTGATGAATATCAACATCCTGGGTAAGAAAGTCCTCAAAAACATTTCAGTTTTTATTATTTTCTGTCAGAAAACAATAAAATATTTATTTCAGTAACCAGATTATCACACACATATTGTTATGTTACTATTTAGCAGCGAGTTTAATTAGACATAGAGTCTAATGTGTGAAATGAAATAAAAGTGTCTTTAATTAAAACTGAAGTTTGTTGGGCTGCTTGAAAAAAACTCCATTTGGATTTTTAACACCAAAAAGAGCAAAACATCATTTATTTATCTTTATGTCCTTTTAGCACATTTAGGACTTTAAACATAAATTAACGTGTTATTAATATTAAGGTAGAAAAACAAACAGATGTTTAAAACTTTAAGTAGCATCCTGTCATCAGACTTTCAAATAAAAGTGTTGGGACGTCAACGTCCTGACTGCTTCTAAAATTATGAATAAATTAAATGTGAGATTTTTGATCTCTAGCACTTTAAAGTAACGTTGGTCCAAAGTATAAATAAACTTTATTCACATCAAATTATTAACGAAATAACATCAATTTAACACAACCTCCCCAAAAAACAGAAAAATAAACATTTAAAGTATATTTTAAAATTAAAAATTATTGCCAGGCTTTTATATTCTGATGAAATGTTACTTATAATTTAATTTGATCTTATTTCAAGTTTGCACCAGAAACCAGAAATATTTAAGATTTTATGATTCTGCAGAAACTTTTCAGATTCACATTTAACGTTACTTTATTTCCATCTTTTTCTGCCTTTCTATGATTTATATTTGATTATTTTAATTTTATATCTAAATACGTATTCAAGTCTAAAAATTCAACAAAATAAAGTTTGGACTGGATTGTAAATAAAAATGCTAAATTTATGATGAATTACTTGATTGCAATGGAAAATTATTTAACTTAGAAAATTCAGTTGTTTTGATTTAATTCAATAAATCAATTTATTTTAAAATCTGACACATTTATGTTTTTAATATTTACTGAAAACATAAAGTCTCATTTATTTGTTTCTTGTATTGCTGTTTGATTGCATTTACTTTGAATGTATTTTATTTGAATGTTTTTTTATAAATATATATTTTCTGTGTTTGAAGATAAAATATTGTGTGTCTAACTCGTAGCAGCAGCAGTTGAATTATATTTGATCTTGTTTTATTCTTTGCAGGTACCAAAGTCCATGATGCCTTGGTGGTTTTTGGGCTGTGTGTCCTGGTGCTGTTTGGGTGCGTTGGGGTAATCTCTTGGGTAAGTCCTATTTGTCCTCTGGACAAAGACTTTGGTCATTTCCTTTATGACTTTAGGGATGACAGCCCAGCTGCTGTATGTCTGCACCATCCATTGTAATGTCCACCAACTTATGGCAGCTCTGGCCTCCCGTACTTTCGGCCGATCTCAGATAAGATCATCAGGATCAATGTGTGGAGATGCTGCATGGTGGCTTCGTGTTATTTGGCTGATGCTGCACTGAGATTTTGTTTCCTTGCAAACTTTGTGTTCACCTGGCTGACATACTGGATGGCAGGACTTCTCTACTACTGTAAAAATGTTTCCTGTCTTTGTGGGATTAAAGTTAGGTGAACATTTAGATGCAAAAGGAGGAAATATTGAGAAATGAGGCGCCATCATGCAGCGTTGAACACCAAGCATCGATTTATCACTGGAACACACTTCCTGTTTGGTTTTCAGTTTTTATACAAACATGATTTGAACTAAAAGTCCAAGTCAGTTCCTAAATCATTTGTGAATTTCTAAAGATGAGTCATTAATGATTCAAGAAACATGACTCTAGTTCACACTTTGCTTTTTGTCAACCAAAGTCTAGATGATAATAAAACTCCTTGTTGATGATCAATACATTCAAACATGTTAGATGATGACTGTCAGAAGGTTAAACAAATAACCCAAGTTATGAGCAGTTAAGATCCTTGTTCTGATTTCTTTTTTTTTTGAATAATTTGTTTCCTCGCATTTACAGGCGGTTGGAAAATAAACCAACAGGATGAAAAACACTCAGAAGACACGACAAATTTAAAGAGTCTGACTGAAGAGCTGAAGAATGAAAATGAAAAATCACAGAATGAAACTGAGAAACTGAGCAACCAAATTCAGAACCTGAATGGAAAATTAAAGAAGAAACTGAGACCTGAACCAGACAATCCAGTTAATGCAAAAATTCAAAACCTTCCTGTTCAATAAGTACTGCAACGGCAAAGGTGAGTCCATAACTCTGAGATGTTTTGTCTCTTTGAGACATTGAGACACGTCTTTAAACATCTGGGATGTTATGAACAAAGAAAGTGAATTAAAAAAACACTGTAAATCAGAATACAGTTTAAAAAATTCTAATAATATCAGCAAACGGACAGGAAGTCGTGAAACATTAACAGATAAAATGTCATGAGAGCCTCATACAAACAGAAACTGTTTTTTAGTTTAAATTAATACACTTTTGTTATTTTCTGTCTCCAGAGTGTCTGCTGTGTCACAAAGGTTGGATCTTCTTCAGTGATTCATGTTACTTTCTCAGTAGTGTTTCTTTGTCCTGGGATCAAAGTCGTGCTTTCTGTCAGTTAGAATCTGCTGATCTGGTTGTTATTAATAATCAGCAGGAACAGGTGAGCTCTGACACCAATCATGTTACAAATTCAAAATATCAGTGTGGGACAAAACTTTACCTTCTTGATGATTTTCAATGTTGTAATTAACAGGAATTCATTTATAACAACATAAATAACTACGCATACTGGTTGGGGATACAGAGTGATGCGAGGGCTGGAAGCAACTGGTTTTGGCTTGACGGTCGTGTCGACACACTGAGGTAAGACATTTCACACAGAAAACAAAGTAAAGAAAAATTAAGTATTACTCATCATTGCATCTGTTACGTATCATTGTGTTAAAATAGCTCAGTTAAAAGAAACTATTTGATTTTACATTTTCTGATGTTTGTGTTTCTCATTTAAAGGTACTGGAACTATAACTATAATGTTCCATATGCAGTGATGTATCGATCAGGGAATCCCACAGCGAGCTGGGGAACGTCATATTCATCTTCAAGCACACACCGCCCCCTCTGTGAGCTGAAAGCCTTCACAGTGTCTCTGAATTAACTCTGTTGCTATTTATATATATATATATAAAAATAAAAAATTCCCTTCTCACCCACGCGGGTGGTTCTTATCCTCTGAGCTCGGGTCCTCTACCAGAGGATATATAGATCTATATATAGATCTATATATCTTCTACCAGAGGCCTGGGAGCTTGAGGGTCCTGCAGTATCTTGGCTGTGCCAAGGACTGCTGCACATTTCTGGACTGAGATGTCTGATGTTGTTCCTGGGATCTGTTGTAGCCACTGCTCCAGTTTGGGGGTTACTGCCCCGAGGGCCCCGATGACCACAGGCACCACTGTGGTCTTCACCTTCCAGGCCCTCTCCAGTTCTTCCCTGAGGCCCTGGTATTTCTCCAGTTTCTCCTTTTTCCTGATGTTGCAATCACTTGGTATTGCTACATCTACCACAACGGCTTTCCTCTGATGTTTATCCACTACGACAATGTCTGGTTGGTTCGCCATTATATATATATACATTATATCCCTTCTCACCCGCGGTGGGTGAGAAGGGAATTTTATATATATATATAAAGATTGATTGTTGATTGTTCTTTTCTATAATTCTGTTTGATTCAGTCAATATATTTCATTAATTTACTAAATTTACTAAAACTGCTAATCAAAATGTCATTAAGGTGCAGAAACCCACCAGATGAAGGATTTTAAATAAGTTTATCTGAGAATTAAAACAGATTATATTTGATTCATTGACATTAAATTAAAATGATTAAAGCACTTTTTTTTATCCTACAAGTGAATTCATTCAATGAAAGATTGATTGTTATAGATTTTATATGTACTTGACTTTAGTTACAGTTAGAAACATTGTTTTATGTTTGTGGGTTTTGTCACAAGTGTAATCTTTGATTTATTCTTAAATAACAATATAATCTTTGGCCTGGATTGCAATATCAAACCAAAAATTTAAAAAATTATGCAAATAAAACCATTCAGAGATCAATAAACTCTAGATTCTAATGAATATTTAACACAACGACTGGAAGATATTTTAAATGTACAAATAAAACATAGAAACAATTAATAAAACGGACAGTGGCGTCGAAAAACTATCCCTGAAATAAAGATCCAGTTGAGACAAAAGCAGCAGAATGAAACTTCTGTCATCATGTTTTTGGTAAAAAGAGAGAAAGAGAAAAATGAAAAACAATAAATCATGCAGTTGGAAATTATTGAGCTCATTTTTATTTACCTCACGTTTTATTGATTTATTGCATCAGGCCAGTTTGTAATGGTAAAATATTTTGATAATTTTTTATTCTGGTTGTGTCTCTTTGCTGATGTGGCACCAGAATCTCCTCTGTGGGTCAATCAAGGATGTTTTTTCTTCTTTATGTAATCATGTTTTTATTGAATACACTTTGTAGAAAACGTTTTTGTGTAAAATATGACATTTGGATTTAATGGGGTCTTTGACTATTTACTCAAATGTTTTTGCTTCTTTTCTGTCGTTACATGATTGTAATCAGTTGATAGTTTCTGTTTTGCCTGCTGAGCTTCATGATAATATTGTTTAGTACAAATAAAGTGAGATGCTGATGTCGTGTCTCAGCCTCTTCATTGTCAGCATCACATGTCTGCAGTTGGACCAGTGATGGTTCACACCACCAGTCTGGGTCCAGATCTGCCTCTGAAAACTGGTTTCCTGACTCGGGTCGGGTCGGTTCCCCTCACAGACCAACAGACTCCCCTCTCCTTCTTCTCAGTCACACCTGGTTCTTATCAAACCGGAGTTCAAGTTGCTTTTCTTCTTTTCCTCTCAGATCTTTTAAGCGCTGACACGCTGCAGCTTACATAACCATGTTTATGTGTGACAGTCGTATGCAAACAGACTGAACTGACTGCACCACCCTTTAGGGAGGATCAGTTTGCAGAGAAGAATAAAAAGCTCAACTCTTCAGGCTTGTCTCTCTTGGTTCCGTCCATCAGCTGAGCTCAGTGGCCCGGCGCCGGACGGTGAACGTAACTCTGATCCACTTGTACGACATGAACAGCTTGTAACATTTGATCATTTTTCAGCATTAAAGCCTGAAACCAAATGTCTTTATTATTCACAGTGATGAATAATATCACTGTAAATAATATTATTTATTATTTACAGCATTAAATAAATAATATTTCAGCATTAAAGCCTGAAACCAAACGTCTTTATTATTTACAGTGAGGGGTTCTGGTCGGGTTCTGGACCTGGTTAACAGACCTGGTGCAGCACAGGTTTCTTTTCATTGATTAAATTGCTTTGCTCTCAGCATAAGTTTATTATTTTGATGTCTGAACTTGAGTCCATCCTGTCTTAACCCCCCGACAGGATGATATAAAATAACAAATATTAGCTCCACTAGAGAACAACAAGATGGAGTCCAGGAGATAATCAGCAGCAGGGATACAAACCGGACCGAGTCCAAATGTTTCCAACTGCAACAAATACATCAGGACACAAAAATGCAAAAATAAATAGAAATGGGGAAAATGACCAAACCAAACCTACATCTTGGTATTAATAGATCAGCCATTCGTTCATCAATCAATATCCTCAGGGTTTTGATTGTTAATCCAAACTGCAGCTGCTGGAATTACAGGCGGAAACTAAAGTTTTGAAATCAGGGATCATCTCTGAAATTGAAATGATCAGAAATCAACCAGACTCTGTGAGCGAAGGAGGAAAGTCTCCACAGCCTCCATAACTCTTCAGTTCCCAGTCAGTGATTTGCATTTAGTTCAGGTTCCAGGTCAGAATTGACTCAGACGGGATTTTAAAAGTTATTATGGATGGGAAAGTTCATTACTTTAGAACTTATTCAGAAAATGAAATCGCTCTTCCTGAGTAAGTATATTTTAATTATGTTGTCTCATTCAACATTTTCCAATGTGATACAACAAAATGTGCATAAAAGTGTTTGGTGGAAACATGGATTTTGGGAGTTGATCCCCCAATCATAATCATAAGCCTGGCGGGCTGCAAGGCTTTATGTTTCCCCCGCCAGACTGAGCGTTGTTTGTTTTGGTTCTTTTTTAAAACATAAATAAAAATGTTTTTATTTTTAAATATTTTTATCAGCCTGACTGCCAGCATCTCTTCTGCAGTGAACATTTCACAGCCAGGTGAAGTGAGCAGCGTTTGCTCATCCAGCTGCAGAGACGCTCAGTGCAGCAGATTCAGCTCATCATGCAGGGCCGGTCCAGGGTCCAGTGAGGCTTGTGCAGAGTTTGATTTAGGGGCCCCTCTTGCTGCTAAGAACATCAGCACCTTTAACATCATTTCACCATAAACTTAGTAAAATCTGGGAGAAGGCGCCTGGTTTAGTTTGCTGGCCAATCAAATGTAATTGTATTTTTCTAAGATATTTTTATAAACAGCTAAAACTCAAGATTAATGAGAGCATCAGATTGTTGCTCTGGCAACAAAACAATCTAACTATGAAGATTGTTCTTAAATATTAAATGTAAATGATCATTTAAAATCTTTTAATTTATCTATAGATGAAACCATTGAATGAAATTTATCAGCCTTAGTTCATTTATGCTTTGGGCCGGTTCTAAATGTCATCAGCATCACTCCGTGTTTTTAGATCCACTAACTGATGAATTAATTTGGATTTAACAAAAGTGCAAATAATTGATTCTTGTAATAATTTAATTGTATTTTTATGTGATGTTTTTAAGACTCTGTAGTTGAGGGTTTAAGTGTTTGCAGTGTTTTCCAGTAACATAATTAGCCAGTAATATTTTACATTTCCTGTCTAATGATCATCTTTTAAACCAAACCCCAGTGGACGCTGTGGGGCCCCGTCCACCGGGCTCAGCAGGTTTTCTCGTCTAAACCCCGTTGATGTTCCTCAGGGTTTGTTTGGAGACAGTTTCTGTTCTCAGATCTGATCAGCTTTTTCCTTCCATCCTGATTTTCATCGTGACATCTGGTACTGATATGCACTTCAGCCCCGGCGCAGCCTGCAGCCATCACCGCCCTGGATGAGAGATAACACTGAAAGGTCGTCCTTTCATCAAACTTTCTGTTAGGTATTTTCCTCGAACCTACAATAAAATAACCACAGACAACGTATATGAATTAAATATGGTCAGGCTTCTGCAGAAGGAGAAATCCCGATCAACAGCTCCTCCGAGCTCTTCAATAGAGAGTTCTGATCTGCTTTCACGTGAGCTCCCTCTTTATTGTCAAAGACAACAGTCACATGGTGCAGTCAGGATACAACAGACGTCGTAAAACATTTAACACAAACAGACCAACAACTCAGTTCCAGGTGTGATATCTAATTTACAATCTGAGCCAGTTCAGCTCTGGGTCAACTGTCACCTAAGATTGGGTAGATAAACACCAGAGAAGAAGGTCTGAGAACCATAAAGTTTTACTATTTCGCATGAAGACAGTCGTAACCTCCAGGTCAGTTTATACTAAAATCACAATAATACTTTAGACTGAATATAAACTAAAGTAACAACAAAATGATAATATTAAAAAATATCTAACACTTCCCCCAAGAGCTATGCAAAGAATGTCGTGACAAAACCTCCCAGGTTGAGAGATGCAGGTTTGATAACAGACATCGCTGCCAGACGTTTCTTTATTTCCTCTTTCTCACTCGCAGATTCCAGGATAATGAAATGTTTTATTAAACTGAACTAAAATGTCAAGAGACTGGATGAAAAGTAACCAATGGACAAACT